ACTAATCTCTACCATTTTCTTTCTGTTTTTTTTTTTCCTTTTCTAGTTATTTCTCATTTTAAAAATTACCAGGTGGTAAGATTTCTCCAAAGTGGAGTTTTGTGTTTTCTTTTCCTGGATTGTTTTTACTCATACTGACCACTTAGGAGATGCTTGTTAACTGCCAGATATGTTGTTTTAATTTTTTAAAAATTGTTGGTTTCTATATTGGTTTTTTAGGTTAACATAGAACTATGGTGGTGTTATACTTTTTTTATATACTTTTATTATTTAGAAAATTGTTCTTTGAGATCACTGCATAGTTAATTAATTATAAGAATTCAAGCAGTCTTCCTCCCTTAGTACAATGTAGACTAAAATTTCACACTCAGTAACAGTGGGTTATTGCATAGGAACACATCATCAGAACATTTAGGAATATATTTAAAGCCTAGCTTTTATATAGTGAGAAAACTTAAATGGATTTTTCTCAGATTACTTTCCATGCATTTGGGGTCCGGTACATACACAAACATATACATACATGTAAAAGTGGGAGTATTTGACTATTAACTAGACCAATGTGATTATAGAAAAAGCTGATTTTAGTTAATCATAAGATTTTTGCATCCACACTTGACATATTTTGGATATTTATTGAATATTTATCTTAAAATATTTCCTTTAAAAACATTATATATTTATTATTAAATATCAATTGTTATAAATACTTGTTCAGTATTACATTATCTTAGTATTTGTTATAGGCAGTTTTTTATTAAAAATAGGGATCTGTGGGGCTGGGGATGTGGCTCAAGAGGTAACACTCTTGCCTGGCATGCGCGGGGCGCTGGGTTCAATCCTCAGCACCACATAACAATAAAATAAAAGATGTTGTGTCCACCGAAAACTGAAAATTAATATTAAAAAATTCTCTCTCTCTCTCTTAAAAAAAAATAGGGATCTATGAGTCTTGCTTTTTTCCAATCCTTTGCTATTTTGTAATAACAGAAACACCTATTTTCCTGATCTAAAATCTTCCTTTGACCTGTTACATAATGTGGTTGTTATAAATGTTCTAGATGTCTGTGGATTGAGTCTTACTTAGAATGGCCCTCCTTTTAACAAAGTTGGTATACATATAGAAGGGATTGGAAGAAGGGGCAAATACTTGTTTATTTTCTTAGTTTGGGGTCATTTAGCAGTGGCAAAGGTAGTAATGACTCTTGAGAACCACTTTGTCAAAACTGCCATGGCTGTGTATGGGGGCTGAGAGTCCTGCATTTTCATGAATTGTTTGTGCTTTTAAATTTTTTTAATTTTGAAATATTTTTGTACTTACAGAAAAATAAACTACAAACATAGTACAAACAATTTCTGTATAGCCTTCATATTTATAATACTTTACCTTGGTTTTTTTTTTTTTTTCTCTCTCTTCATATATGTGTGCTTACCTGTTGTTTTTCTGAGTAAGTTGAGAGTAATTTGAAGGCATAGTACCCCTTTACAATATTTTAGGGTGTATATCCTGAAATCAAGGTCATTAGCATAGTATCATTATCAAAATCAGAGCATGCAATTTTCAAATAACAAATATTTGTTTACTTAGGGACAAAGTATAGGAGGAGTGATAATATAGGCTTGCAGAACTATTATAAATGCTTGTGAGAATTACATTCTCTTTTATGGGTAAGAAATCAAACAGAAGATTATTCTATTTTAGAATGAGATTTGTAGCATAACAGAGTAACATTAAAAAAATACTCTAGAAACACGAAGAAAAAGCAGTTAGCATTTCATCCTAGAGAATCAGGGAAATATTTCTTGGTTGGTGCAACATCAGCTTAAGGTGCTCTGTTGAAGGACAGTGAGAGGGAATTTACTTCTCAGGATACATTCCCCTGTCTAGTTTTTGTTCTTGACAGTGAGAGTCTAAGGATAAATATGTTATTGTGGTTACTCAGTTCTGAAATACCCTAAATGATAAGGTTTTGGTTCTACAAAAATTGATACTGTGGGGGCTGGCTTGTGGCTCAGAGGTAGAGCACTTGCCTAGCATGTGTGAGGCACTGGGTTCAATCCTCAGCACCACATAAAAATAAATAAATAAAATAAAGATATTAAAATATGTATATAAAAATTGATACTGTGATTTTTTTTCCCTTTTAATTAACAGATTTTAACCTTACGTTATTGGGCTAATAGATTTCCCTTCCTAAGCACTTCTCAGTTTTTTTTCATTAATACCGTCTCAATTATGAAAGACAAGAAGTGATGGAGTTGATTAGATGTAATTGCTTTAAAGGAATGGAAGGAATGTTTTTAAAAGTTTAATTGAGCCACTGTTCATCTAGAGTTTAAGGGATAGTTATTGTTTTTATATTGTCTGGCTTTTATATATTAAATGTTGAATGTGCAAGCAATTTTTGCATTTACAGTAATTATTTTGAATTAATTAGAAATGGCTTCATAGGGTGCTCTGACTTCTTATTTTCAGACTTTGCCCAGGTCAAGGTAAAAAGGGTAAAATAGATACCAACTTACAATAAAATTGTAGCAAAGTTTTGAATGTGCAGTTATTGAGAATTGCTTACAAATATTTGAGTTTTCTTTAGTATTAGAATAATTTTACAATACCAAACTATGTTTGCATGGAAAATTATAGAATACATGTCTTTATTTCTTATACAGATGCTTTGGAAATTTGCTTTACATTTATATAAATATTTAAATATAAATTTTTTTCTAGTTTTTTAATTTTGCACATATACATCCAAACAGTGTTTCACAGTGTTAATAATATGTGATCTTTGACAAAGGTATTTTAAGAAATGGAATTTCAGATTCTATAAGTAAGGTTATTTTATCTTTCAAGCTGTTGCTTCTTGATTTCTACTTAAAAAGTAAAGTAGAAAGGTTTGTTTTTTTTTTTTTTTTTTGCTTTTTGTTTTTAAGTAGGTAGTCTTGGTATCTACTTGCTTAATTGCTTTTCTTTTTAGAAATGAATGTATTTTGACAACACCATACTAAAAGGACTGTAATGTGAATTTTCACTAGACTACAAATCTTCTCATATGATTTTTAAAATTTTTAAATTTTTTTTTCCTTTTGCTGTAGATGAACATAATATAATGCCTTTATTTTATTCATTTTATTTTTGTGTGGTGCTGAGGATAGAACCCAGTGCCTCACATGTGCTAGGCAAGCACTCTACCACTGAGCTACAACCCCAGCCCCATGATTTTTGAACTTTTAGGCCTGGTATTTAATACCTTAAGGGTTTAGTACTAAGGGTTCAGAGCAGGAAGCCTGTGGAGTTGTCTTCCTGTGATTGCATGTTTCCAAAATACTGGTGAGTCTTGAGCAAGCCAGAGGTGCATCTGCATTCTTTAGTCTCCTATTTTAAATCCAGTGTCTTGGTGTGAAGCACTTATCCTGTTTCAAAGGTATCTTCATAATTTTTGAGTTTTTGTGGAAGATTTTCTGCTGCTTTATGTTCTGCTCATTTGAAGTTCAAAGATGAATTTGGTAAAAATACAACATTAAGCACTGTTACCTGGAAAAGTCTGTAGGAACTTTTGATCCCTAACACTATTCTAATCTTACATTTCTGATTTTGGGCATTTTAAAAGATTTGTGTGTATTATAGTTTAAGAGAATCCTTTCCAAAAGAAAGCAGTGCCCAGGCAAAGTAAACTCAAAACAAAATAATCTCCAAATCTTAATGTAGTCTCTTCTTGATCAGTGCCCAAATTTTATTGAACTGAAGTATCATAATTACTGAATAAGAGACTCTTTTATTTAAATTATTTTTAAACAAAACATGGTTACTATATATTCATGAAATTTTTTGTGTACACTAAAAATTTATATTTTATATTCTAAATTATTTCTTTAATTTTTAGTTTAGGAGTGACATTACTACTCAAAAAAAACATTATTGTTTTCATTGGACTTAAAAAGAGCTTTATCAGTATGTATGTGTATAACTTTCAGAGAAAGACTGAATATTTCCATTCTAGATTATAATATAAAAAAAAATTAGAATAAAATGGGAATTTCCATTGTTTCATGATATCCGGAAGGAGAGTTGCAACAGGTGTTCTGGAAAGTAATTTTGTCCAAATGTCTGTTGCACGTAATGAATTGTCTTCTCTCCTATGCCTCCAAAAGATTCTAATTAGGTACTGTTTGGGGGAAAATCAAGATAATATCATTCAAGTAGTTTTTCTTATTCTCAGTAATCATGGGGTTTTTTTTTTTTTTTTTGGACTAAATGTCATTCCTTTAATATGTGCCCAATTGTGCAAGTTGCTTAAATTTTTTTCCTTCAGTTTTAACATCTTTTATAAAGGAGATACATCTACTACAGTGATAATATGATTAGGTATCTAGCATCAATAATTAGTAACCCCTAATCTTACTTGACTTAGCTCCTGTACCATAAATGCTTAACTATCTTATTAGAAGTCAACCTTTACTAATACTAGTACTTCATTGCTTAAATGTTTAATTTATTGGGATATAGTTTAATACAGGATCTGAAGTCACACATTGTCTGAATTGGAATTTCAGCTATACTATGTAGTTGTGTGATATTGGGTAAATTACTTAACCCTCTTTAGTGTTGGGTTTCTCAAATATAAAATGAGGTTAAAATAGCACTAACAATTCAATAAAGTTACATTTAGAAGTGCTTAGCAGGTTTCCTGATGTATTTTAAGTATAATAAATGTTGAGTTTTTCATAATTATTATTATATGGTTTTATATTAGGTATTTGTTACTTTGAAAAATAGTGGCTTAAAATAACAATAAGTGTATCTTATTTCCTTTTGCGGGGAGCCAGCAATTCAGGAGCATTTTAGCTGGGTGGTCCTGGTTTGGTGTCTTTTTTTTTTTTTTTGCCCCGCCCGTTTGGTGTCTTTCATGAGGTTGTATATAAGATACATTATTAACAGGGTCTATCTGGTCATCTGATTGTTATTTGAAACTAATGGCTTTAAAATTTATGTTTTGCAGACTATGTCTTCAGCAGTGGTACAATTATATGCAGCAGATCGGAACTGTATGTGGTCAAAGAAGTGCAGTGGTGTTGCTTGTCTTGTTAAGGACAATCCACAAAGATCTTATTTTTTAAGAATATTTGACATTAAGGTTGGTTTTATTTTGCTTTCACTTTAAACTGTATGTGATTAGGTTTCTGCCTAATTATGATTTAATATAGATGATTTATTTTTTATCTTGGTGTAATATTAAATTGCACTTAAAATAATATTCAAAGAGTGGAGTTTTGTTTTAGATATGAAGTATGGACATTCGGATCAAATGGGAACAGATCCTAAGGCAAAAATGAATACTGTAGTTCCCTCCTATCCAAGTTTTTTGTTTCCATGGTTACACATACCTGTAATCAACTATGTTTCCAAAATATTAACTGGGAAATTACTGAAATAAACAATTTATAAGTTTTAGGTAATCTTTATCATAGTATTTTATATTTATTCAATTTTATTATTAGTTATATTGTTTATCTTTTACGTTCCTAATTTATAAGTTAAATTTTATCATTATAAGTACTTTGGATGAAACAAAGGGGAATGAAGGGAAGGGGGTGGGGAAGGGAATATGAAAGACAGTAGAATGAATCAGACATAACTTTCCTGTGTTCATATATGAATACACAACCAATGTAACTCCACATCATGTACAGCCACGGAAGTTATACTCCACATATATATAATATGTCAAAATACATTCTACTGTCATGTATAACTAAATAGAACAAATAAAAACTTTAAAAAATTATCATAAGTATGTATATATAAGAACAAACATAAGGTTTAGTACTATACAGGGTTTCGGGCATCCATGGAATATCTTCTCATGCATCCCTCTGGTTAAGGGGAAAATATTGTAGTTTCCTATTTTACCTCTTCATTGTCACCATACATTAATGATACTGTTTTTTTCTAATTATGCCTTTTGATCTTGGTGCAGTCTCTCTTTCTAGTGGTACTCTTTCATTCTACCTTGTGCATCACAGACTAGTATCCATAGTCCTTTCAGGGAACAATTGATTATTATTTCAGTTTTGTATGTAGTGCTATTTCTGTACTGCTTTAAGCATTATTTATACAATCTAAAAAATATTTTCTACCCATTTTTCCTTGTGTTTCTATATTCAGATTTTTATGGTTTTATGTTTTTCACTCTCAGGTTACAAGTCTATATTGTCATAGAGTTGACACCATAGATTTGTCAGGTATTCATCTCTTATGGCTGCCAGAAAAGTAATTATCATTTTGCTAAAGTGAAGTCTACATTACATCTTTTAACATCTTTCTGTAGGTAAATTTCCATGGTTAACAGTTATATGTGACAATAGATTTAATGGGATTTTACTTACAAAAATCTGAAACTTTCACTAAACTGGACACTGATATCAGATAGATGACAAGCAAACCTTTTAATATCTCTGCAGTGATTCTGAAAGATGGGAATGTATCCATAGTTTGAAAAAAAAAAACCTCAGTACTTTGATAATTTTTCATCATCAATGTGAAACACTATTTAGAAATGGAGTAATATGAAGAAGAAAGGAATTCCATGATAGTGTTCATGTGTGTACAGTGTATTTTAAATATTTTAAATTTATGGTGTAGGTGGAACCTTACATTTTAGTATGGGGCAATGATTATTGTTTTTCCAACCACATATTTACTATTGGAGATAACTATGGCTGAACACACAATTAGCCACCTTGTTAAGAAGGTTAAACATTTTTTTTATCTATAGGTTAACCTTAATGTGATTTAGTCACCAGTCTCTTTCTGCAGTATTGCAGTATGATTGATACTACTTATATTGGTACTTCATCAATAGGTCACTCTGCAAAAGAATTCAAATATTGTTAATAAACAGTACAGAGAAGGTATATTTGACCCTCCCACATCTGTAAAACTGAAGAAAAGAATATGAACATTTCTGTAATATTTGATAGCACACAGCCTGAATATTGTTAATGGAACTGTGCCTTGCATATCCTATTTCTTCTCTCTAACATTGATCTGAGAATTATTCTGTTTTCTTTTTGTCCAAGTAACTGTATTAGGAAGTGCCTGATCATTGTGAAATTATATATTAGCATATTGAACTAAACTTTTTTTACATGTAGGTTTCATGAAAGAAATGTTATCCAATGTTTACTATTTTGTTATTAAGAAATTATGAAAGAACAAAAAATTATAAAATAGTATATTAGTAATATATTACAATTATATGTAATGTGTGTCTAAAAATTCCCTTATCATGAATCATCTGCTTTGTTTCATTCCTAGAGATTTTTTTTTGATAGCTCTTATTTGAATTTTTACTTTTTTCTAGGATGGGAAATTATTGTGGGAACAAGAACTATACAATAACTTTGTATATAATAGTCCTAGAGGATATTTTCATACCTTTGCTGGAGATGTAAGTCATATTTTCCTTTATTGTCATGTTTAATTTTTCCATTACTTGCCTTTTTTAATCCAAAATATTTATAGAGCCCTATTGAAAATCAAATTCAGTTTTTTATTTTTTGCTAAAGATGAACTATTCAGTTTATTATTTGAATGTCTGTTTGGTAACTTCTCATAATAGTCTTTTCATTTACCTTCTCTCTCTCTCTCTCTTTTTTTTTTTTTTAACTTTGAGATAGGATCTTGCTTAGGCTTAGGACCTCTCTATATTGCCCAGGCTGGCCTCCAACCTCGAACTTGTGATCCTCCTACCTCAGTTTCCCAAGTCACTGGGAATGCAGACATGCACCTCTACACCTGGCTTTTTCATGCTTTTTGCCTCATTTATTTATTTAAACCATAAAAAACTTTCTTGTCTACCAGTGTAGTCAACTTTTTCTCCTTTAGAAATATATTTATGTTAGTCATCATTTTTTGTTATATAAAGCTAAATTTCTACATTTTGTTGTTTACCCTTTTTGCTAAAAATACTTTAGACTTGTCAAGTTGCTCTTAATTTTGCCAATGAAGAAGAAGCAAAAAAATTCCGAAAAGCAGTTACAGACTTGTTGGGCCGACGACAAAGAAAATCTGGTAATGCCCTCCTTTTTTTCTTTTATTTTTTGCATTTACATAAAATGAGCCAGCAAACTAATGGCTTATGTGTATATAGCTTTATTAAAACCCAGCTATGTTCATTGATGTATATATTGTCTGTGGCTGCTCTTTTGCTACAACACAGTTTAATAGTTAGGACAGAAAATATATGGCTGTCAAAGCCTACAGTATTTATTGTGTATAGCCCTTTCAAAGAAGAAAAAAAGGTTTGGTGATCTCTACCTCAGAAGAAATAGTGTTTTTTGTTGAAAAGTTCCACATACACTGAATCTAAATTTGAATTATCAATGGCATTGTAACTTACATTCTTAAAGTATTTTGTACTTTGTCCATAGGTATTTTATATAAGCTTAGAATCAAATAAGCAGAATTCAAACAAGATCTATAAGCATTGCCTTGTCCGTCTTTTGTTCCTAGAGTTGTATGTTATAAAATGGTAAGGAATTTAATTTAGTACATGAAACACCTTTAACACACAGAAAAGAATTAGAGAACTATGTAGGACAGTATAGAGCTTTAAATTAATGGTTGTAATACTGTTGTTTTGACAAATGCACCAGACCTTGCTCTGGTAAAGTGGAAAAGGATGGTTAGGAAAAATGATCCTCTCCAACATCTTCCTATTAAGCAGATCAGTTTTAAGAAGAAGGATAATTTGGGAGTTGAGACTGACAAACAAATTCGCTCAAAACTAGCTACACCCTTATTGTATTGTATTGAAAAGTCCATACTTCCTGAGGTACATGTTAACGTCATTTGGAAGATGATCATATTCATCTTTTACCAGTAAGAAGGAATATACAAAGAGAAAGGAACATATTGGATCTGGAAAACATTAGTGTAAAAGCATGTATTTCATTTTATCTATCTTCATTGTTTTTTAGTTTTATTTCCAAGAAAAATGTGAGGTAAAAATGAAAATAAAATGAACCAAGTTGTTGCTTCACTGTTGCCATTTGCTTTTGCGGGGGTGGGGGCGGGTGAACTCAGGGGCCCTCTACTACTGAGTCTCATCCCCAGCCCTGTTTTTAATTTTATTTAGACACAGGGTCTCACTGAGTTGCTTAGCACCTTGCTTTTGCTGAGGCTGGCTTTGAACTCCCAATCCTCTTGCCTCAGCCTCTGGAGCTGTTGAGATTACAGGTGTGTGCCGCCATGCCCTGCTTATTCTTTTTACATTGAGTCAGTGGAAGAATTATTAGGGGCCTGCTGCTTTTTGTGGCTTTTGGGGGCAAGTGCATTTACTGTTTTTTTTGCTATACTAAGAAAGAATTTAATGCTATAATACTGTAACCTCAATTTTGGAAATGGTTATGGTTCACTGCCTATTTCAGGGGCATGCTCTGATGTTAGGCCACGGTCTCTGTAGGGCTACTTACACTCAAAACATGACATTTTTGATATAAACAAAGGAGGGGAAAAAGTGTTAAAAATAATTGATTTTGAAATTGGTAAGATTAGTTAAAGGTGTCTTTCATTTCACACGAGAATTTTCTTGTAGATAGTCCCCAACTTTTAGGCAAAGTATTTCCATTGTAGAAAGAGTATAACATTAGGGAAGCAGCTGAGTCATCTTTGGATGGTCCTGCATGCTGTTTTAACTCCATCTTTACCTCTCTTGAACTTAGGCATGTGGGGTCCAACTTGTTGAGCAATCTATTAGTCTATTTTCTTTTCTTCACAATAGCTACTTAACCTTGGAAGCTATCATGTTCTCTTCAGACCTTTTCTTCTTTAGTTTAATCAATTCCAGATTCTTGAAATATTCCTATGATTGTTATAGACTTACCATCCTAAGTACTGTGCTTTGATTCCATGATAGATTTGATGTCGTTTGCTCAATATGATGCATACTTGAACACAATACTCCAGTGCAGTCTCACTATTACTCTGATACTAAAATATCCCTCAGTTTGATTGAACACTGTTCTGATATTTCTAGCAAATTTCTCACATTAGCTCCTATTCTGTTTTGTTCAACCAAACTTCCCTCTTTTTTCATATTAATACTTCTCAAGCCAGGATGGTATTGTATATTTAAGTAATTGCTTCTTAGAACTTAACATTCTGAACTTCTATGATTCTCTCTTTATTTCCGTATTTGTGTCATTCACAAATTTAAGTAGTATTTCTTCTTTGTATGCAGAGATAACATCATTCTTGGAAACTGGGGATTGATGTTCATTGACTTAGAAGGTCTTAATTACTTTAAATGTTTTAGAAAATAACTTTATCAGATTACCAGATATATCATACATTTCTATTCCCATTGCTAAGATTTTTAACTTGTCAACCAATTAATTTTTATTGATTTTGGTTTGCGGTAACTTTTAAACTGATTATTTTATTGCATCAATATTTACGGGCATTTTTCTTAAAATTACAGAAAATTTATTCTTAGTAAATCTGTGGAAATTGCATTTATTTAAGATGCTTCAGCCACTTTTCAGTTTTCTTAAAGCCTAAGTAGTGTTTGAACCAACCTGGTATATAGGTATATGAATGCAAAGAAGTAGGTTTTCAGTTTTTTTTCTGGTCTTTCTCAGTGCTCCAAGTTCTCTGGCTATTCTTTTCCCCTTTGTTCTTTCATGTAGTACAATGGTTTTGAAAAATAACTATATTTGGGCTCCTAAAGTTTTATTTTTGGTTCTTACCTCTCACTGAACCTCAGACTGTTTATACTCAAGTGTCAGAATAGCCACACTTTTACCTGAGCAAAGTGCTTGATCCATATCCCTATCCTAGCCACACTCCCACTCAGAAATGTTTCTTCTATTTGATTCTCTTCCTGTCACTATAAAATGCTCCCTTTTATCACTCAGGCTTTCCATGATCCCTCATAATTCTAACAGTGAGTCCCATGGGCTCTGCCTTAAAATATGTCCTGGATCTCACCATTTCTTTCAACTTCTATTACCATCTTAATTCAGTCCATCATCTTGTCATATGGACTACCTAGGTCCCTGGCTAGTCCCCCTGCTGCTATTTCATCCATCCCTCTGCTGTTTCTTCCATAGTGTAGCCAGAGTAAATTTTTAGACATAGATTGGATGATGTCACTTGCCCTACTATTGGGCAAAACTTCCTGTCATGTACAGAATTAAATTCTGTAGTCCTCAATCATGGACCATGGGATCCTGCACCGCCAGCCCCTGGCTCTCCTGACTTTTTTCATTGCACTATTCTCTTTGCTTTCTCCAGTCCAGTCTTCATGGTGTTCCCTCATGCTGTTCCCATCTCACGATTTTGGCTCTCTTATTCCTTTTCTTACTTTATTTAGATGTTTGCTTAAATATCTTCAGAAAAATATTCCTTAGCCATCTGCACATCTATTTAGGAATAGAGTTCTAATGGATTAATTTTTCATATTGATGTTGTGTTACACAAGTCTAATAATATTGTAATTTATTTTCTAACAGAGAAAAGACGAGACCCCCCAAATGGTAAGCTCTTTCATAATTATTAACTAAAAAGATTTTAAATTATAGTTTAATTCTTGTATGGTACCCTACATTTGATTTCTGATATTTAGTATCTGTGATCAAATGCTATTAATTATGTTCTTATTGGAAATTAATGAATGGCGGGTGAGAGAAAACGTATTATTATTTGTTTTTCGTTGTTGTTTTTGTTCCTAACATGAAGGAAGAAATCATAGGATGAAAGTGGTTCATACTTAATTCTATACCCACAAATTGGCCAAGTTTAGAAACTGTACACTATTGTCCGTACTTACCGTAAAGGCATTGAATTTCATTTACTATATTTGTTTATATCCTACTTTAAGATTTATCATTTTTTTCCCTATTTCAAAAGATCTCACACTTGTTATATGGTACATGAAGCCCCTTTTAAAATGAATACTTACTGTGAAGAAGTGTTTATAAATAATTGTACCTGCATACACAATTGTAGCCCTCTTTGATAATGAACACTTGAAATATGATGAATTCATTTGTTTGCTTCTTTGAATATTTAATATCAGAGATGTAAAAGATATGGTCCCAGACCTTTAGGGTAGATTCTCATCCTGGATTTTAAACCCTCCCTAAAATTATATACTAAATTTTAACCTCTGTGGTTTTATTAATTTGTCTATGTTCTTTTCTCTGAAGAGAGAGGAACCATGTCTTTTACCACATTTAAGTGGAATCCCTGACCCCTGTGAAGTTGAAAAACCATTGCTCCAAGGAACCTTTATTATAGTGGAGAATGTAGCTGCTGCTTTTTAAAAAGCATCTCACAACTTCCCATTAGAACCTAGAATGGTTATTCAAGAAAAAACTTAGATAACACAAAGTTTTTAATATATAGGGACTATTGGATGATTATTGAGGTTTGTTTTGTTTGTTAATTTTATTTTTTGTGGTGCTGGGAATTAGAACCAGGGCTGCACGCATGCTAGATAAATACTCTATCACTGAAATACATCCCCAGCCTGAGGTTTCTCTTTTAAGCAAATAAATTGCTTTCTGATTTTGTTCTTAAATTTCTTTTCCTGATATAAAAACACAAACTAAAAATTGCATTATTAAATTTTTTATTTACCTTATTAATTTTTCTATTGGCTAACAACCTTCAGTAGTGTTTACCATGGGTTTCATAGAAATATTAATACTTACAGGGCTGCTCTGGGACTTAAATGAGATAATCACAGTATTTAACATAGTGCTTAATAAATATTTGTTGTCATGATGAAGATAATGGCAACAATAATAATAGCAGCTTCTGTTTAATGAACATTTACACCAGGCATCTTCTGAGATAATTCCTATAGATGAAAAAACAGGCACAGATAAGTAACTTGCTCAAAGTAACAAAACTAGTAAAATTTTGGAGCAAGATTCTGCCTCAAGTGATTGGAGACCTAGAGAAGGGAGGAAATGTCTGAAGATATACAGTTGGTATAGGGCAAAAGCAAAGGAAGCAGAACAGCTGAGTCATTTGTGAACTTCTAATGCAGCATTAGAATTTTTTCTTGCTGTGTGCCCAGTATTTTAACCTCTGTGGTTTTATTAATTATTTTGTATTTGGCGAACATACATTAATAGTGGGGAAGACTTCTTAGTGGTGGTATCTAAAAACTTTGGAGAAAGCAACTTGAGATTTTAAAGTGTAGACATTGTACAAATCATATAATTAAAGAATGTAAGTATTTTCAATATATACAAAATGTATTTGTTAAGAGACATCTAATTTCCATGGATAAACTTTAAAAGTTCTTCATGTGGTGATGGTGTCTCACAATTTTGTTATCCCAACTAAGAGAGTCACTCATTAGTAGTGTATTTTGCTCAAATTGCTCATGGTTTTAAATATTTAGATACATAGCTTTTACCCTTTGGTGTAGTGGTCTCCAACTTCTTTCTTTTCTTTTTTTAATTGATTTTTTTTTAATGCATGACAGCAGAATGCATTACAATCCTTACTACTCATATAGAGCACAGTTTTTCATATCTTTGTATATAAAGTATGTTCACACCAATTCATGTCTTTATACATGTACTTTTTTTGCATTGCAATTCTTATTACACATATTTACCACAGTTTTTTCATATCTCTGGTTGTATATAAAGTAGGTTGACAGACAATTCATGTCTTCATACATGTACTTTGGATAATGATGTCCAATCACATTTCACCATTCTTGCTAATCCCCTGCCTCCTCCTTTTCCCTCCCTCCCCTCTTTCCTATCTAGAATTCATCTATTCCTCCCATGTACCCCCTCCCTATTCCACTATGAGCTGACCCAACTTTTTTCTTAAATGAAGGGGTTTTTAAATTTTTTTTAAATGTTGTAGGAGGTCAAATTACATAGCAGGTATTGCCAATATTGTTACCTTTTTGTTTAAAAATATTAAAATATGGTATTAATTTATCACATGTATAATAAAGGATGATCTAAATAATTGGTAATATATTTCAATACTTTTTTCTTATTCTTGCAGTTCAGCAAGTAGATTGTCTTGCTGACAGCACAGCAGTGCTTCTACTGTACTGCATTTGGTGCCTTCCACTAGATGGCGCTGGACACCTTAAACATGCCTTGCAGTGTCCATGGGGAACTTGGTTACAGAATGTCATTTAAGAGGATCTGTTTACCAGATCATTTTGAGTAATTATTTAAAAGACACTTGAGTAGAAGTTACATATATTCCTAAAATGAAATTTCATGTCTTCCTCACTGATGCCTAACTTCAGTTAGCCAATCTGACATTTTGGCTTATGCACTTTACAGTGATTTGTTCTCAGCATCATGACTGCTTGACATCAGAGGCCTCTGGGCCACCTGTTTTTCAACTCTCTCACATTGGTGATAAGTCTCTGCTTTTTATATAATTAAAGGAAACTTGTTTATTTCTTTAGATTTAAAATTAAGTAGAAATGTCTTCTGTTCTCAAGAATATTTAAAAACCTTTTCCTGTGACAGTTGTCCTAAATCAGAAGGAGGTGATTTATCATTTGATTATTCTTTTTGAGAGGAAAAAACCCAGCTCTTCCATTATGTACTACTTTAGGTAGGTGATCTTAGGATGAGTCTAACTTCAAAAATGAAATAATTAAATTTTACTAGAATGGCTTGAATATCTAATACCAGATCTTCTCTATATTTTAATATGATTGTGCCTTATACAAATTATCTCTTTTTTTATATCATTTTTGAAACATAATTAGGCTTTAGAATCAATTTAAACTTATTTCCTAATATCATCACACTCTAAATAGCTATTATCAGCAGAAATAATGAAGTACCTAAGCTCTTGAATGTATCAAAGTATTTTCCTAAATTCCAAAATTTTTTATTGTAAAGATTTAATGAATGTGGAATTTTTGGATTGCAAGTTGAGATTTGATAAATTGATAATGTATGGCAACATTTGTAAAGTTAACATGATCAGTTTCCTTGTAGTGTGACTTTTGCACAGAAGGGAAATAGTTAAAAAGTAATGGAAATAACAACATTCACCTACTTTGCTTTGTCACCAGTTATGTGACTTCATACAGGTTTACTTGGTCTTTTGTCTTTTGTTTTCATAAATAAAATGAAAGACAGAAAAACCAATTTTCTGTATTTCACATTTATACTAAATTTTGTATATCTCTATAGTCTGGAATTTTCTCTGTAGACTTATTTAAATAATATTTTAACCAGTACTAGTGAAATTAAAAGAGATTACACCAAAAGAGATTATGCCAAAGCTTTATAACTGCTTGGCAGATGCTCAACAATATATTCATTTTTGAGGTACAGGAGGAGGGGAAACACAGTCTGTCTGTAGTGTGAGTTAAACATTGTTATTCATTCTACGCATCACTTTTATTGGTCTGTCCTCTTCATTCTTGGTTCTTCTTCTGAGACCACTGAGTTACTTTTTGCTACTAAGCTATAAATCAGGCTCACAAGAATATTAACTTATTTTCATAGTAAATAAAATACTAGCTTGAGTAATTTAAACCATCAAATTTAACTTTATCCTACTCTATTACCATTTAGGTCATCCATAATATTACAGAACACTTTTATATAAACAAACAAAAATATCTTTTTCCCTTAAAAATGATTATGATTAGCTTTTGCTTTTATCTTTTAGTGGTGAGTGGTTTTTCCCTTGTAGTTGTTATTTGAATTTCTATTTCAGAAAAAGTGGTAGGAATAAAGATGGTACCTGATACTTGCAGGTCTTTCTTAAGTGAACTCTTAAAGATTCTATTGAATATAAAGATAAGAGAATAAACAATTTGTAGCCTCTTACTGTGGTATTGCTGATACTGGTTGGTATAGATAAGTTATCAAAAAAAGCAGGCAAAAAAAGGGAAAAATGAGAAAAGATCACTAGATAAGTCTCTGTGTCACCATTTCAACCCTTTAACCTTCAAATTTGGGGTATTCTCAATTAGTCCTATATTGTGAAACTTTAGCAAATGCTGAAATATGTGAACAATTTAGAAAATCCTTGTCTACTACTTAATCAGCCTTTCAGATCATTCCATATCGTTCACCTGTCCTTTGCTTCTGGTTGCCATTATTTTCAGATTATTCCTTGACACCAAGGAAACTTTTAATAATTTTTATCTATTTTATTCAGTAGCTTCCACTTTTTTGGGTATTAGTTGCTTTACTTTTGCCAAAATCAGCAAATTCCATGGGATTTTTTAAAGTGAAATTATAAATAAAACTTTTAGATTATTTATTTATATATAAATACGTTTTGACTATTGATGGAAAATAACTCAGTTTTGGTGATATTAAAAATATACATTTTTTCATGTCCTTCTCTGATAAGGACACATGGCATTTATAATTTTTTAAGTTCTATTTCATTTTTAAAAAATAGTAGAGTTGAGAGAAAGAGAAAATCGGTTATATGTAATTTACCCAAGTAGGTAAACATTTTTCTTACAGACAACTTTGCATTTAGTTCATTCAAGGTTTTCAACATAATTAATAAATTATAGTCAAATTGCCATTGAGTGATCACTTGATAAGCATTACCCTATAATTTCTTGAAATTTCTACTTGCCGTTATATATGATTGTTTTGGAGATCCCCAAGATTATCCCCATGGCTGGTAATTCTCCAGAAGAACCCACAGAACTCCGCATATAGTCATACTTATTGCAGATATTCATTAAAGATATAAAAATTAGCAAAGGTGACAACACATGGGATGAAGTACATAGGAAACTCATACAAGTATCCAAGAGTTCTCCCAGTGAAGTCTCAAGAGATATGCTTCATTCTGTTAGCAATGAATTGGGATATGTGAAATGTTACCTAAGAAAATGCTCAATTAGATAGAGACTCAGTGCCCAGGGCTTTTACTGGGGTTTGGTCCTATAGGCATCTGCCATACCATGATTCTAGACTCCAAAGGGGAAAGCAGATATTCAACCTAGATCACTTTGTTAGCATAAAGTTTAGACATGGTGAGCCCACCCTTTCAGGGAATGGGGGTAATGTTTTCAAAATGCAACTTCCCAGATGCCAGTGAAATGCCATCCTTATTGTGTTATGTTAACTCCTTTTCTACAAATGGTGATAGTAGTTTATACATTTTGAAAGTTGTCACTAATGTAATGATCTTAGATTTTGTTAGAGAATTGTATATTGAAATGGGATGTTTAAGGAACATTTATTGACCTTTACTTAAATTCATGTTTTTAATTGAATATATTACATTCAGACTATTATTCCATTAATATAGTTTTTTAATTATAAGGCAAGCTTTGTGCTACCTCACTTAGTGTCACCCCTAAAAATGCTACTGATAATATCCAAGAGTGCCCAGGGTATTTTAACTGTTGATCCTTGCAAAAAATATGTGTTTTTAAGAATTTTTCCATTTTAGGTTTTTGAGCTGTATGCTTTTGATACTTATGCTCTCTGTGTGTACTGGTAGGGAAAATATTAATGGACTTAAATATGACAGTTTTGGAAAAATTGGTAGTAATGATTTTATAAGTACTTTTCTCCTCATGGATTAATAAAGTTGAAACAAAGTGGTAAGACTAGACTTCTTTGTTAAATTTAAAACAAAGCAGATACCTCTTTTACTTTCTTTATCCTTGTTATTTATTTTGTGTATACCATCTTACCAGTGAGCAGTGTGTTCACTATGAAACTATTATAGGCAAAATATAAGTGATTAGCACAATTAAAAGTTTATATTCTTCCTGAGAATTAATGTTATACAAATAGAAGTTTGATGTGAAATAATGCATCTGTGCCACAGTGTTTATGAATTAATTATAGGCTTTAGAAATTTAGGCAGTACCTTCTTATTTGTAAAACATCAATATATGCAGGCTTAAAATTTAATTTATAATAATGAAGTGATTCTACTTTAGAAAAAGATTTAAATTTATAAATTATGATTATATAGAATTATTTTGTTAAATTATATTTCTTTAATGTTATTTTGACTTTATTTGTAGGTCCCAATCTACCTATGGCTACAGTTGATATAAAAAATCCAGAAATCACAACAAATAGATTTTATAGTACCCAAGTCAACAACATCTCCCATACCAAAGAAAAGAAGAAAGGAAAAGCTAAAAAGAAGAGGTTAACCAAGGCAGATATTGGAACACCAAGCAACTTCCAGTAAGAGTTTTTTTGTTCTTATTTTTACTTTTGATTTACTCATCATTGATGCTCCTGATTTTTTTCTTTTGCTGGGTTGGGGGAGGGCAGGATGTTTGCATTCATTGTATTTTAAAAGCTGTAGATTTTGTTGGAGATTTTGAAGACAGTTCCTCAGTATATGTCCTGTAAATCTTACATCTAATTTACTTTCTCACCCATCAGAAAAGAAAAATTAGATAAACTTGGTATTTCAACTAATTGTTGAACATGAAGATGATTTCCCACTCTGATCTACAAATATTATTTGGAAATTGCCTGCAGGCATTGTCTAGAGGGGAAAAGAAGCCTTTGATATTTATATATCATATTTTAAGCATTTTCATATGCATTACTTTATTATCTCATTATAAAACTCCTATCTTCTCATATGCATGATTCTTATATTCTTATATGACAGTTGAAGAAATAGATGCTCAAAGAGATTGTTTGAGAATATTAAGGTTTAGTTGTTACACTGCCATGGCTGGAATCCTGCTTTCATAACTCCTGGTATATAGGTCTTCCCAAAATACTATTGAGTCTGTGAGAACTATCAGTGCAGGCCAAAAATTCAAAGGATGCATTTGATTTCATTCTTGTTATGTTTTCAATCCCTTTATGCATTTTTTTTTCTACTCTTCATTTTTAATTCTCTACTTTAGGCATATTGGACATGTTGGCTGGGATCCAAATACAGGCTTTGATGTAAGTGTCTTTTTAAGCCATATTCATTATTACTCAAAATAGGACTGTTACAGCCTTTTTAGATTTTTTAATTAATATTTTACTATCTCGTGAATGTGGTTGTGTTTATGTATTTGAACCACTGAGCCTTGAAACTATAGTATTGTTTTATCTAATTCATGACCAAGTCTTTGAAGACAAAACTTTATGCTTCTGGGACTTTATTTACTGAATAAGCGAAGACTTATGCTTTGAAAGCCAAGGGAAGAAAGTTATTTTTGCCAAGGGATAATTCAGGGGAATACGTACTAAATTACTAGAAATTAGCATAATTGAATTCTGAATATCCAATTGTGGAATTATCTAGATGTGGCACTTTTTTTTTTAATATTTTTTAGTTGTCAATGGACCTTTATTTTATTTATTTGTATGAGGTGCTGAGAAATGAACCCAGTGTAGATGTGGCACTTTTTATTATCCCTTATTTTATAGTACTTTGAGGATAAAGAAAGTGAAGCTGTGGTGTTGAGCCAGACACAGTGTCATGCTCTAGTAATCACAGTGACTCGGTAGGCTAAGGCAGGAGGATTTCAAGTTCAAGGCCACCCTTGGCATTTAGCAAAACTCTATCTCAAAATAAAAATTGAAAAGCTCTGGTAGTTTAGCACTCCGGGATTAAATTCCCAGTACTGCCAAGAAACAAAAGTTAGTATTTGGAAAAATTATTTTGAAGAAAAATATTTGTGATTGGGGTCAATAATCTTTGGTTATGTAGCTTCATTGTACTCTACAGACATTTATTGAACACTTATTTGTGTTGGGTACTATACAGAGTCTTTGGGGTACAAGTATTATAATACAGATGAGTATTCCATTTTATCATGGTTATTTTTTAAAAATTGAATTAATTTTCATAGTTAGCAGTTATATTATCTGTTGTAGCTGAATAATTTGGATCCAGAATTGAAGAATCTTTTTGATTTGTGTGGAATCTCAGAGGCACAACTTAAAGACCGAGAAACATCAAAAGTTATATATGACTTTATTGAAAAAACAGGAGGTGTTGAAGCAGTTAAAAATGAACTACGAAGGCAAGGTAACTTTTATTTCTATATAAGCACTTGGATTTGTTTTTTTCTTGTGAATGTTTTGAGATTGGTCAGTTTCATCATAGGTAGCTATATACATACATAAGAATCCTTCCTTAAAGTTGTATTTCTTATAATTCAAAAGTAGTACTTTTTTAAATATAATCACTGTCTAACCAATAATGTAAGCATTTCCATAATACAAATAATGTAAACACTCTATTAATTTTAAAATGCAAACTCTTTCTTGAATAAAGTACAAAATTGTCTTTTGGTTCCTGAGAGCAGTTTACAAAATCTGATATTTAAAGCACCTTATAGTTTAGTTGTGTCTTAACAATTATTTCAGCAAAATGCAAATAAAATAATTTCTCAGCATGACAGTCATCTTATAGTCTCTCATGGAAACATCCATGTAAATACTCATAAGTGATGCTAATTTGACTGAAATGAGCATGATGTTTATTTATCTTATTTGCAGGTTAATTACATTTCCAAATTCTGTCAGTTTTTAAAAATAAATCCTGGGCATAACACCACTGTTCTTTTAAAATGCTCTTGGTCAGTCATGGTTACTGCTAGTGTACAAATGATGGAAGTTCTTGACAACCCTCATGTGTTCCTCAGCATTCTTTCTTCACTATTACTATCCACCTTGCCATACATTCTGATAATGCTCAGAATCTCTCAGCCTTTTGGATTTTTAAGTTTATAAAGTAACTGTTGACATTACTTGACCATACCCATGGCTTCTCTTTCACCTGAATACCTATAACTAAAAGTGGATCATATGAACTAGATTGGGTTTGAGTTTTTTGTTTTTTTGTTTGTTTGTTTTGTTACTGCTTTTCTTTTTTTTTTATCCGCTTCAGAAACACTGAATTAGGCAAGGCATTTTCTTGATTTAATTTACAAATTTAATTTAATTTACAAAAATGTCATAGGAATTAAGAAAAATGCTTTGGGAATAAAATGAAATACATTTTTTTTATTATTATATGCAAGAACCTGACTTTCAGTCTGGAAACTTATAGAAACCAAAGATTGATTTTATGTAAGACAGGTTTTTTACTTTTTAAAGGAAGAGTAAAAAGGCAAATTTACAATTTATTACCATCTTTTCTAAGTAGAGTTTATAATTGTAAGTTAATATTCAAAGATATGAAAAAAAGTCTTGAAAATATGCTTTGTAAAACCTGTTTACTCAAGTCTCCTTGACACTTTATTTGTAAAATTATATAATCAGATTTATAAAAATAAATAGACATGTGACTTCCAGTGTATCTCTTTGAGTATGTATAATCATTTGAAGTCCATTAACTCATAATAATCTGTTCTATAGGTCCACCACAATGGAGTGGTATGTATGTGGAATATTATTTGACCTAGCAGTCTAAATTATGCATGATATGCTGTGTTGATTTTTATTGGAGCTTGAGTTTATATATCCTGTCTCCAAATATAACTTCCAGTGAGATTTTCTGCCCTATACTCAAACTAACGTGTAGATGCTAAAATAAAATTTTATTTCTATATGAGTTGGAGCTTATGCTTTGTGTATAATTTAATTTTATTGAAGTTTTATATGAAAAAAACCCTCTTGCCCAAGTACCTCTGTTGTTTTTGTTACTAATAATTATACTGATTATTTTGTGACTGTTTTTCACACATAACATTTTTTCAATATCCTGTATAAAATAAATTACATTTTATATTAACTTGGGTCAGTGAGGGAGAACTAAACATAAATAAACACAGTTTTACAAATTCCCTCTAAGGGACTTGTCAGCATTTCCATAAATTTTAATTTGCATTAACTAAAATTTTTCAGTTTGTATTTTCTTGGTCTGAGTGCATGAAATCAGATCTTTAATATTTTCCGAACTCTGTTACTGTATATAAGTTACATAATTTTTAAATTATAGCTCTATTTTGTTCTTTTATTAAAGAATTACTTATACATAGCAATTGGGTTCATTTTGAGAAGGTCGTACGTGTGTATGACTTTGATTTGATTTTCTCCATAACCAGTTCTGGTTCCCATACCTTTTCCTCCACTGCTCCCTCCCCCTGCTGCCTGCTGCAGTCCTCTCATCTCTGCTTTCAGTGGGGCCATTAGTTCAAAAACCAGATGAGGGGTGATGGGGGATGAAGAAAAGACAGACAGACACATAGAAAAAGTTGGGGCCAGGTAGGCAGCCAAATTCTGGTGGATATCATACAAATGTAGTTAACAGAGTTTACTCTTTGGTCAGATTACAGTGCTGAAGTCCTCAAAGATTTTTAAGGAAAAGAAAAATTATATGTATGAGATCATTCCATTTTTCTCCCTGTGCCATAGTGTTAGGGAGGAATTTGTTAAGAAAGCAAGATAGTAGTGTGTGAAAAGGAGATAAGATAACCAGCCATAGTGGCTTGAGTTTTAAAATGATGCTTTTTTCCTTTGGTCTTAAACCAGTTTCTGCAGTTTAGATGCAAGCCTAAGAGAGATAAACATCTAGCAGAAGCTAAGAAAACATAGTCTTAAGCATTGCAACTTAGGATCCAAAGAAAGGGATCTCTAGTTGTCTCATGTTTTACACCCATCTATAAACTTGTGCTCCTCACCTTTGTTGGGGTACCGTGGCCTCAGGAGTGTCCCCTCATCTGACCATTGAAGTTCTTCTGTGTCCGGTCCCTATTTGGGCACCAACTCCCTGGGCCTCTCACGTCTGGGCCATTAATTCAGAAGCTGGACCAGGTGTGATGGGGATTGGAGAAAAGACAAATAGACACACAAAGAGCAAAAGGTGGGGCCAAGTGGAACACTGCTCTCTGATGAAGAAATAGTGATCTAGGGCAAGCTCAGCACATTTATTATTTAATGTTTCATCAGAAGGTTATTTGTGGGAAAGTTTCAGCAAAGCAGGCAATCTGAAGGTCACAGTACTGGTGAGACATTAGGGTCATCTTATTATGCTCAGAATTCTATATCTCTGGATTTGGTGACTGAGCTCAAGGCCTCCAACTGGTAAGAGCTATAAGCCTTTGCATGTAACCTCCTCTGCTGGTGTTACCATTGCAACTGGGCCATCTTGACCTGCACCTTCGCACAAAAAGTTCCTAGTGCATTGCAGCCATGAGGGAGTCAGATCATGATTCAAATCATCACCACTCTCCACATCCTACTCTACTGGTCATTCTTCTCTACTGGTCATCCTTCTGTACTGGTCTTCCTTTCACTTGTTATTCATTTTTGATTGGTGCTGTGTAAATACACATAAAGGTGGAATTCCCTCTGGTATGCTTATATATGCATATAGCATGATTTTGTTAAATTTATTTCACATTTTCTCCCCTTTCCCATTGTTCCTTCCTCCCTCTCAATCCCTTTCTTCTACTCCTGATCTTCCATATATCTTTATGATATCCGATTCCCTACCTTTTTTTCCCTTATTTTCCTCTGAAAGAAAACATTCAACTCTTCTTTCTGACTCTGGCTTGAATATTTCACTTAGCATGTTGTTTTCCACTTCCATCCATTTGTTAGCAAATGCCATAATTTCATTCTTCTTTATGACTGAGTAAAACTTCATTGTAAATATATATACACTACTGTTTCTTAATCCATTTATCTTTTGATGAGCATCTAGGCTGGTTCCATAATTTGGCTTTGTGAATTATGCTGCTATAAACATTTGAGGTGGCTGTCTCACCATATATACTGATTTTAGTTCTTTTTAATAAATATTAAGGAGTGGAATAGCTGGGTCATGTCGTGGTTTCATTCCTGTTTTTTTGTAGCATCTCCATACTGCTTTCCAGAATAGTTATACTAATTAGCAATCCCACCAACAATATATGAGTATATCTTTTTCTCCACACCCTCACCAACATTTATTATTATTATATATTCTTGATAATTGCCATTATGACTGGAGTGAGATGAAATCTTTGGGTAGTTTTGATTACATTTACCTGATTACTAGAGATGTTGAGCATTTTTTCATATATTTGTTGACCGTTTGTATTTCTTCTTTTGAGAAATATCTTTTTATTTATGTCACTTTTTTGAGTTCTTTATATATTTTAGATATTAATCCCTTGTCAAAGGAGTAGGTGGCAAAGATTCTCTCTCATTCTGTAGGCTCTATATTCACATTATTAATTCTTTCCTTTCTGTTAAGGAATTTTAGGGATATTATTAAGGAAGTTGAAGTCTGCATTGATAGGATAGACTATTGACCCTGTGTTTTCTTTAAGCTGTTGCAAAGTTTCTGGTCTAATTCGTAAGTTTTTGATCCACTTTGATTTGATTTTCTTTAAGGTGAGAGGTAGGGATCTAGTTTCATTTAGGTACATATGTATATTCAGTTTTCATAGTCCATTTGTTAAAAAGGCTATCTTTACTCCAACATGTATTTTTGGCACCTTTGTCAAGTATCACATGTCTGTAAGTATGTGTGTTTGTTTCTGTGTCTTCTGTACTATTCCGTTGGACTTCATTTCTGTTTTGTTGCCAATACTGTGTTTGTTTTGTTTTGTTTTTTAACTATAACTCTGTAGTATAATTGATCAGGTGTTGTGATGCCTCTATATAACTGACCTTGCTCAGGATTGCTTTGGTTATTCTGGGTCTCTTTATTCTCCCAAATGAATTTTAGGCCTTTTTTTTTTTTTTAGTTTTTGTGAAGAATGTCATAGGTATTTTGATGAGAATTGCATTGAAACTGTTTATTACTTTTAGTCGTATGGCCATTTTGACAATATTAATTCTGTCTATCCAGGAACATGGGAGGTCTTTCCATTTTCTAAGGTCATCTTTAATTTCTTTCTTTGTTGTTCTATAATTTTCATTGTAGTGATCTTTGGCTTCCTTGGTTATATTAATTATCATGTAGTTTATTTTGAGGGATAGTTTTCATTTTTTTCTCAGCAGAATCACTCTTGGAGTATATGAAAGCTGTTCATTTATGAATGTTGATACTGTATCCTTCTACTTTGCTGAATTCATTTCAGCTCTAGAAAT